CTCTGACAGGCTGTCCCATCTGCAGGATTCCTGCTCGGAGGGAACAGGATATGAGGAGTACTCCCAGTAAACGACTCACAGTGGGCAAGCATATAAGCAAGAAATAAACTTCAACTGATGTAAGACAGTAAGCTCTTTCAGGTTTTCTGCTACTGCACCATAACTGAACTTAACCTGACTATGGAAGACGCCACTGCAAAATTTCATAAAACATTTATGCGATCTTAAAGTAAGCCAATAGCAGTCAAAATGAAGAGAAGGGGACTACCTAGAGGGATATCTGGAAGGGGGGGCGGGGGAGGTGATGTCCAATATTATAATATTGATAAGATAAGATAAGATCCATTAACCGAACCAACAAACAAAAAATTCAGGGTACGAACATATTAAACAAGGTACCACATGGAAGTAGGATTGGATGAATTATAAATGAGCCTCAAAGGTAAGATTTTTTTCAATGATTACAGGGACACAGATTTCTGTTCAACACAGGAGATGTTCTAACAATGAACTTTCTAGCATCTAACTAACTGAACTTTCTAACATCTCTATGAAGATGAAAAGAACTCCTTTGGAAAGCTGGGCTCACATAACTAGTTTTCAAGGAAAGGATGGATAACCACATAAAAAGGATATTATAGAATGGTTTCTAGAATTATCTGAGCAATCAGCCAAACAGACTTTTAATGCTGTGTCCAACACTGAAAACAGTTGTATTGATCATTCTATTTGCTAATATTAACAACAGTTAGCCATTTATTGAGCTCTTATAATGAGAAAGGTACTATGCTGAGGAAAACAATCCTTCGCCATTTTACAGGTAAAGAACAAGGGCTCTCTACAAGCTTGTCATGTGCCCACATCATGTATTAAGTAATGTGGCAGAACAGAGATACAAAATATCTTCCATCTCTGAAGGCAATGAAGAAATGGACTTAGAGCAATGTATGTCCCTGCAAAGACATATACTATTAGAGCCAAATATGTTAGCTTCTATCTGACACCTTGAAGGAAAATGCTCTTGAGTAAGCAACGGTGAAGTTTGTTGTTTTGTTTTTTTTTTTAATAAACAGATGACACTAGCTAGACACATACGATGCAGTGTGTGCAAACACTGCAGAGCTACAGGAGGAAGGAGTAAATGGAAGATAAGATATATGAAGTCATATCACCTTAGAATTTAAAATATTCTACACAGCGTCAATACAGTATTACCTCAGCACCAATCAACAGCAATTAAAATCAAACTATCTTATTGTATGTGAAGTTTACAATGTTACCTTAATTTCTGCAGTGAAATTATTTTTAATAATTACTGCAGAAACTCATCATTCTGTATAAATGAGCCAACTGCTGCCTTTTGGGGAAAAAAAATCAATCTGTATGACTCTTACTTAGCTGTAAGACCTTCTCAAGGTAGTTAATGGAATTCTTTTTTAATTAAACAAATCAGTACACTTAAAAATACAAAAAGCAGGAAATAGTAAATTACTAGTGCAAGCTCTGTTAACATGCAAACCAAGAAAAAATTAGTTTGGGAAGCACAAACACCCTACAGGTGATACATTCCTTGATGATCTACTTCAATAACGTCAATTCTGGCTTTCATGCTAGAAACTCAAAACATTCACACTGGGTAACCCAGTCCATCTTTATCTGAACAGAAGTGGAAAGACATGACAGAAAACTGCCAGGAATAAGATAGTAAAACTGCATTTCCATACATTTAGGTTGTAAAGAGATAAGTAAGTTAAAAGTAAATGGTCTAAGTGAGGGACGAACAAAAGGGCCAGCATGTGTAAGCAAACCCAGGTTCTGCTGACACTGGATAAAGGAGAGCTAAAAAACCATTTAAAATGCTTCCTCCCTCATGAACAGGGTAGTTCTCACTCATACAACAGTTACTTAAAGTTTGGTGAAAAGAGGACATTATTTTGAAAGATAAAAGAATTATAACAAATTTTCAAAAAAAAAAATCTCAACTTGTCCATTCTAGTTGTAGAAAGGGAGCTAAACAGCTTCATTACTAATTATTTTCTAAAAGAAATACTTTTATTTCAAAATAAAGTCTTACAAGAGGATTCATATCAAAAAATGCAAAATAACAGACCTACAGGGAAAGGAATTCCCAATTACTGAACAGTAACAATAAACCAAGTATTATGTGGCATACACCATATACATCATCTAACAAAAATTCAAGGTGCACAGTATCCTGTACTTAATTTAAAGGCTGTTTACTAAGGCTTAGTGAGGTTAGGGCAGCTGCCCAAGTAACAGACTGTGAAACCAAACCAAGGTCTAACCCAAAGGTCTTTAGAACTATCCCAAGCTTTATTGTATGCAGTATGTTGCAATGAACTTTCCTATCAAATAATAATTTAGCTTGACCTGGAGTTCAATTTTTATCACAAATTTGGAATTCATGAGCAAGAATAAATGAATTATCTGCATTTCTCTTCTCTCCCAATTTTTCTGTTCTTCTCATTTTCTCCCAACCATTTAAAACACAGAAGACTGAGAAAATACGATTGAACCACAGATTAATATTTTCTAAAAAAAAAAAAAAATAATAACAACAACTAAATTAGGACATTAAAAAAAGAGTGAGCTATTCTTTTTATTTTTTTTTTAAATTTTTTAGAAATGTTTATTTACTTTTGAGAGACAGAGAGCGAGCGAGTGCGATGAAGTGCCGGGAAGGGGCAGAGAGAGAGGGAGACACAGAATCCGAAGCAGGCTCCAGACTCTGGGCTGTCAGCACAGATCCCGACGTGGGGCTCAAACTCATGAAATGCAAGATCATGACCTGAGCCAAAGTCGGATGCATAACAGACTGAGCCACTCAGGTGCCCCCTGAGCCCAATTCTTTTTTAAAAGTATGTATTTTGCTCCCTATACATTAAAAACGTATATTTAAAAGACTGTGTTCAAAGGGGCATTAATTATAATACACACAGTAAGAGCTTCATTATGGCAGAAATGACAGAAACGGTAAAGTTTCCACATTTTCCTGAAGGGACTCTGTGTGTTTTTTTGTTTTGTTTTGTTTTGTTTTGCATTGGGAGAGAAAATTACCAATTATTTTAATTATTTAAGAGTACTCAACTCTCAAAAATCAATGTTTCAGGGGCGCTTGGGTGGCTCAGCCGGTTAAGTGTCCGACTTCGGCTCAGGTCATGATCTCACGGTTCGTGGGTTCGAGCCCCGCGTTGGGCTCTGTGCTGACATCCAGCTGGAGCCTGCTTCAGATTCTGTATCTCCCTCTCTCTCTGACCCTCCCCTGCTCATGCTGTCTGTCTGTCTCTCTCTCTCTCAGAAATAAATAAAACACTTAAAAAAAAATTTTTTAAATCAATGCTTCAAAAAATATACTTACTACCAGATGGCTGGCCTCTAGGCCCACTCCAAAGTACAGACGTAGGAACTAAAGTTCAGAATGAAAAGGAGATAAATTTGGTGGGAAAGACCTTTCTGATGACCTGAATGGTGACAAGTTATGGACCATGGCTTAGGTACCCTAAGCACTGACACTGTGGTGACACTACCCTAACCAGCAGCTTGGATAAGGAACTGAATAGTCCCAGAACAACTGAAAGTACTACATAAAGACTCAGGAGGAGAAATGAAAAAGTCTTCCTATAGAAGTTCTTAATTAACCCATTCTGTCACCTATTTTTCCCCTTGAAACAATATCCCAAGCCCAGAACATACTGTTATGCTGTAAAGTAAGGAGGTGCTCAAACGATGACGACAGGTCAAAAAGCCACAGAAGCCATCTTGAAGGGGCTTTCCCCCTGGCCAATCTGGAAGAACTTAAACAACTAAATAAACGATGCTTGTAATGAATTCTAATCCATGGAATAAAATAGAAATCCATTCCTCCAAATTCATATAGCTAAAAAGGGTGATAAAAACATATGAACACAAGTACATATGAGAAAATGAAAAGCTCTTCCTTACAAAAGAATGACAAATAATAAAAGTACAAGGAATGGTGGCATTTGAATTAACACTACAGCCATAAGAGTACTAACCAATTTAGACAACAGAAGATAAAACACAAGATCAAATGTGATAACAGGATAACTACACAATCTCATCTTATGAGGCCACAAATTACTTATTACAGAATTAACAAAGATCGCAGTTAACAAGTACTTACTAATACACAGTATAGAAATCTGACAGAACAGCACCTCAAACAAGTTGATCAACAACATTAATATCACTGACCTTGAAATCACAGGCCTTTTGCTTTGATATACTGGGGACACGACATCATTTCTACACTATCACTTACAAAATGCATAACCTAAATATAATCATGAAGAAACTATCTCAAATTGAGGGACATTATATAAAATATATAATCTGAACTCATTCAAAATGTCAAGAAAGAAAAAGAAAGGCTAAAGAACACATCCAGATTAAAAGAGACATAAAAACTAAAATGTATGATCATGGACTGGATCTTGGGAGGAGGCGACTTAAGAAATCAGGGACAAAACTGGGCCAGTGATAACGTCCAAGTTAAATTACAGATTAAATAATGGCATTTTATCAATGTTAGATTTCCTAATTTTCATGACTGTACAGTGCTTAAATGAGAGGATATCGTTCCTTTAGGAAAGGTACACATAAACACTTAGGAGTTAAAGAGAGAACAATTTCAAGTGTGCATATGACTATCGAGTGCTTCAGGAAACACACTTAAAATACACACACGCATCAGGAGTAAGAGAGCAAGCAACTGCACAAACTATAAAGCAAACTGGATAAAACTACTGGTCAATCCATGCAAAAGCATATATGAAGTTCTTTGTGCTATTCCTGGAATTTCTCTAAGGTTGCAATTATGTCAATATAAAAGAAATGAGATTTATATAATTTTATAAAATTGTACACTAAAGCAGTCAGAAACTTGACAGGAAAACCTATGAATACCCAGCACTGCACGTGGGTGTCTCAAGCAGCTGTGACGCTGTCCCTTCTCTTACCTTTCTAACAGATTGTGGATGGCTTTGAAGAGCAGTGTCCGACATTCATAGGAAAGACCATTTTCCCAGAGTCCTTCTTCCACAACTGAAAAGAGCAAAACAAAATAAAAAATTAAACCAGTAAGAAGGGCATCCAAATAAAAATAAACTTTTAAAACATTTTTCTAAAGCAAAGTTAATAAATTCATTTAAATAAATTATCTCACACTGAAACACAGAAAGGAAGTTAAAAACTTGCCAAAGTCATAAAATACCTATGTACAGAAGGAAATAACATGTTTCAATTTTATAGTCTGAAATATAAGCATGGTACAACTCCTCTCCAATAAAGGTCGTTCCAACCTGATTTTTCCAAAATTTAAAATCATTCAAATCATTCAAATTTTTTTTTTAATGTTTTATTTATTTCTAGGAGAGAGAGAGAGAGACAGCGTGAGCAGGGGAGGGTCAGAGAGAGAGGGAGTCACAGACTGAAACAGGCTCCAGGCTCTGAGCTGACAGTCAGCACAGAGCCTGATGCGGGGCTCGAACCCACGAACCGCGAGATCATGACCTAAGCGAAAGTCGGACGTTTAACCGACTAAGCCACCCAGGTGCCCCCAAATCATTCAAATTTTTTAAATGTTTTTATTTTTTTCTTTCTTTAAATGTTCTAAAGGCAGTATCTTAATGGGATTTTAAGGACATGACTTTAGGTAAAATGCCAGGAAATTAAATCTTAATATAAGATCAAATTTATTTCCTAAACTCATAATTTCATTAATGTTGGACATTTGGGGAAATACTGTATCTGCCTTTGAAATATATTATGTAACACTAAGCCCCAAGTAACTCTAACACCAAGAGAACCCAACAGACTAACAATGCCCCGTGCATTCCTAACATTCTTTTCATATATAAAAGGATATAAAACGCCCTAGAGAAGACAGCTAATTTCCTTTTAAATTAGTTCAGTTCAAGATAGCAAAAAATTGGAAGGATGGAAACCACATTTGCAGAAGAAAATTTTCTCTCTCGTTATCTTGACAAAAGCACTGACCAGAGAAAATTTTGACAGAGAATTAAAACATATGTTAAATCCACATTCATTTGTAATGCTTTTACCACACCAAGAGACATCTCAAAATCCGTCTCCATATTCTCCAATCACACAGAATTAGAAAAATTGTATTTACAGTCATGAGTTTCATTGATAGGACTCTTTTTTTTAAATTATAAAACTGTTTTTTTTCTTGGTATGTCAGATAGGTTTTTATTTTCCTATGCGGCTAAACATGATTTACCAAATTTTCCCAAAGCAACCTCTATCAGAACCATTTTATTATCACTAGAGAAATGGAAATAAAGTACAGCAAATAAATGAACGTTCTGCTAGCAACACACTACTTCCGTTCAAGACAAAACAACCAAAAGCTTTCTACAATCGTCTGAAAGTGGGTTCTATCTTTACATGTATCTTACATGTATCTTACATGTATCTACATGGGTAGAGCTTTTCCTAGGTGAGAAAGAGAGCTAACATTTCAATATAATAAAAAAAAAACATATTAATTTGTTTTGTCTTCCTTATGTGTCTCATTGATTCTAAGACATCATCAATTTGTTTTTGATGTTTATTTATTTTTGAGAGAGACAGAGTGTGAGCAGAGTTGAGGCAGAGAGAGGGTGTCACAGAATCTGAAGCAGCTCCAGGCTCCGTGATGTCAGCACAGAGCCCAATGCAGGGCTCAAACCCATGAACTGCAAGATCATGACCAAAGCCAAAGTCGGACACTTAACTGACTGAGCCACCCAGACACCCACCCTGACACCATCAATTTTAAGATGCACCATTACTTTATATATCACTGGAGGAAGTGGGGTGGGGTAAGCTGCAAATTAAACTATAACATGGCTCTTATGGCTTAAGATTCTTAACTTGCAATTATTTAAAGATATCCTTTAAATTTACTGACTTTTTTTTGAATATCATTACTGTACATACATAAAACAGATAATGTAAGCCAAGGAAAAAAGGTTATAAATTCTTAAAACTTGGGGCACCTGAGTGGCTCAGTCGGTTGGGTATCCAACTCTCGATCTCTACTCAGGTCACAATCTCAAAGTTTGTGGGATTGAGCCCTATGTTGGGCTTTGTGCTTAAAGCATGGAGCCTGCGTGAAATATTTTTCATTCTCTCTTACTTTTTGCCTCTCTCTCTCAAAATAAATAACTTAAAAAAAATCCTAATACTTCATCAGCATTCAAAGTGTAACTCTTCTGAATCACATTTCAATCAGTCACTAGTGTCAGTCAGTGTGTTTCTATACAATAGTCTTTTGTGTCATGAAGTGTTGGTGATGGAGCATTTGTGGAAGAATCGCATCTTTTTTCCAAGATTTTCTTCCAAGTTGGTGACAGCTATTCCGAGCATTGTTTTGAAAAATATATATTAATTAAAATCTTCAAATACACTTTAACGGGCCCAATTAATTCCTAAACCAATTATCAACATTGTGTCATCTGCTTCACCCACCCTGCTTTCTTTCGGTTTTCTTGATATGCTTTAAAGATAAGAACGTACTTTGGTATACACTGAATCAGAATCTAAGCAAGGTCTATAAACTGCCTTTCACATTATATCCCTTAATTCTCCTTAATCTATAACAGCTATCTCCTGTTTTTGAAGATGCCATTAACTAACTGAAAAAAACAGCTAGAGATCATATACAATACTTCATATTCTATTCTCACTGCCTCATCATGATACCGTTTTTGAATGCTGATGCTACTTTACCTTAACAGAATATGTGAAAGTTTTCAGACAAGAACTGTAACTCTGTTTCTTCTTCAAATAGTCCTGAAATACTTTAACTGAAATGTTTACGTGTTATAGTTCTCTAATCATGGAAGGTGGAATACTAAACAAGTTTGAGCAATGCCAACTACACCACAGTGAATGGTAAGAAACCATTATAATTTTATTGTGATTTCAACAATTTTAAAACAGACTATAGAACTGATTTTTTTCCTTTGAAAAAAATTCTTAAAAGAACAATCACAGAAAACCTATAACTAACATCATACTTAATGTTAAAAGACTGAATATTTCCCCCCTAATATCAAGAACAATGCAAGGATGTCGGCTGTCACCACTCTTACTCCAATTTTAGAGGAGGTGTAAGCCGATACAAGGCAAGGTAAAAAAAATTCCAATCATACTAACTGAAATAGAAGAAATAAAATATCTCTATTCATAGATGATATGATTCAGAAAATCCTACAGAATCAGCAGCAACAACAACAAAATAGTTTCTAGATCTAAAACTGAATTTCGCTAGTTCACAGAATACTAGGGTCAATAGAGATTTTAAAAATCATATTTCTATATACTTTAATGAATACGAAATTACATTTTCAATTATAATTTACAATAGCTCCAAAACTCATGAAACCCTTGGATATAAAACTTACAAATTATGTGCAAGATCGATATGCTAAAAACTATAATACTGATAAAAGAAATAAAAAAGACATAAATAAATGCAGAGGTATATATTGATCACAGACTGGAAAAGTTACTATTGTTACTAATTCCTCTAAGACAAATCTATGGATAGAGTCAACTCAATTCCAATCAAAAATCTCTGCAGGACTTCTTACACAAGGAGAAGCCAAGTCTACATGTTTCTATGACAAAGCAAAGGAACTAAAATAACCAAAATAATGTGGTAAAAGAAAGATATAGTTGGGAGACTTACACCACCGGATTTCTGGATTCACTAAAAGATTTAGAATTGACAAGATAGTGTGGTACTAGAGAAAGGACAGATACATAGATCAACAGAACAGAGTCCAGAAATAGACCACAAGTATATCGCCAATTAACTTCCAAAAAAGATGCAAAGGCAATTCAGTTGAGAAAGGACCGTCTTTTCAACAAATGGTGCTGAAATAAACGAATATCCCTATGCCCCACCCGCCCTGCTCCGCCCCCCCCCCCAAAGTACCTCAAACCCTAGCTCATGCCATTTAGAAAACTTAACCTGGGGTGCCTGGGTGGCTAAGTCAGTTAAGCATCCGATAACTCGGGTCATGATCTCATGATTCATGGGTTCAAGCCCTGAATTGGGCTGTGTGCTGACAGCTCCGCCCTGGAGCCTGCTTTGGATTCTGGGTCTCCCTCTTTCTCTGCCCCTCCCCCGCTCATGCTTGCTAGCTCGCTCGCACGCGTGCTGTCTCTCTCAGAGAAATAAACATTAAAAAATTTTTTTTAGATTTTTAAATACTGAAAATTTTCAAAAAATACCTTTATTAATACTACTTTTATATGGTAATTCTCATATCTTACTGTATAACTATAATATAAATATATTTTATATTATATAAATAAATAATTATTTTTATGATATAAATATATTATAAAATAAATATAAATAAATAATAAATAAAATAAGTTTTATTTTATATTATATACATAAATATATTCAATAAATATATAGTATTATATATATTATATAAATTAATACAAAGTTTAGGCACCGATTTAACAGAACACAGAGAAGAAAGTAGTAACACAAAGTAACACAAATCATACTACATTAAGCTCTTGTTTAAAGAAAGTATACTAAAAACAAGAAGCCACAGAAAATTATGGGGTGCATTGCTGGCTGAGTTGGTAGAACACACGACTCTTAATCTCAAGGCTGTGAGTTCAAGTCCCACAGTGAGTATGGAGCCTACGTAAATAAACAACAGAAAATTATAGATTATCCTATAATTTACCAGGATATTTTAAAATATAAGTCAGTAAAGGTAATTAAAAAGGGCTTAGTGTCTGGACTTCATACGAACATCTACATTTTATCTTACATATTAAAGATTCAAGAGTAGACAAGAATTTATTGGAAGTCAACAACTGTAATCAAAGATTATCCTTCTTTGGTATCAATGTCAGGCTATACATTTAAGGATAGCATATTATTTTGCTAGTGGTATGTTAATTTACTGTTTAGATACAGCAAATACACTTGTACAGAGGAATAAAAGCCAGACCAAATTCTCTTTTCTACTTCATACACAAGATCTCCAGAAATACACCAATGT